AGACAATCTCTAGTTGATAAAGGAATTGATGTTCCTTCGATCAATTGTCCTGTTTGTAATGGAGATTCAGAAACTGCTCCTCATTTGTTCCTATTTTGCGACCTAGCTACTCAAATATGGCATAATATCTTCATATGGTTGGATCGGTTATTTGTGCCTATGACATCGATCTCTCAGATTTTTTGTAGTTGGATTCACAGCCTTTTTGTAGTTGGATTCAACTTGTGCTCCATATGCAGGCAGCCAAAAAAGCCATAAACAAAAAGTAGGTTGCCTAAAAACCATCAAATAATGTTATAATTTGTTTTTTTTTCTTATTAAAGCAAATTTTTAAAAGTACAATGTTATAATTTGGTGAAATTTTTTAAAGTATGCCCAATTATAGCATTATTCTTTCAAATACAATGCTTTTAATAAAAAAAATGAAATTTTCTTTTAAAAAAAATAAGAGAATGAATAAATGAAACAAAATATTTTTTGAAATTAGAATTATATATCATTGCTGCTATATTTTTATGCATCTAAAGACTTGTTACTGATATATTATAGAAAATTATAAGATTGTAAGTAGTGCTTACAAGAGTAATAATTTTGGTAGGGTTCTATGTGGCACCATATTTAATTAGCTTAATATTGTTATTCATATATCATTAGCTAGCTAAAAAATATCGAGTGTTATTTTGAAGATATGAAACTACACTATTTTCATCATTTTAATCCAATGTAGAATTGCAATTAGCATTGTTACAAAGTATCTAATGATATAAAGCTTTTTTTATTTACAATAAATGTTTCTACTATCTACCATTGGGATCTAGTTATCTAAAATTTTAATACTACTTTTTAGTATACATACAAGTTGCTGGCGTGATGAAAAAAATTCGTATAGATTGCACCACAACATCATAATACATCTGTAACATTATACTTCAAAAAGGGGGAATCCTAAATTTTGAAAGGTCTATGTTGACAGGAAAAGTTCAAACTCAAACTAAAATCAAGTTATCAAGCCAATATATCTAAATGAGGGGTTTTAACTTATGAGAATTCAAGTTATTATAGTAATTAGTTATTAAAGGGGACATAAATGAAAGTGTCCCTATTTTATATTCCACAACACATATCAATAATCTATTGTTGTATAGTACCTTCCAGATTGGTTCTTGCAAGCAAATGTGATGGCGCTTAACCATACATAAGACATTCTCTGGCAGAGTTATGACAACATATGTGGTGTCTGATGGTGGAGGCAAGGTGGCGGGTCTGCAAAGTGGACGTATGGAGTTAGCGGTAAAATGGTAGTTTTAATTTAAATACAAGAGGAGTTAGGTAATCTTACAGTGGCAAAGTTAGAGGAAGGGTCTTAAGCACTTGTTGTTGTATGCAACAAAAACACATAATGTTACTCCCAAATAATTTACTGTAGAGAACATACATATTGCAATAATAGTGTTGAATTTAGTAACATATCTAGTTTGAAAATCCCCCAAATCCACACTCTTAACTTTACTCCCCATGTACAACTTATTCTAACTTTTGGAGACCTTCAAGCTAAGTATATAGATTCTAGAAAGGAAATCAAGAATAAATAACAACAACTCGTTAGTTATTGATGTGAGTGTTTCTCCAAATAAAATGAAAACCATCAAGTTGAAAGGGAGTACCATGGATAAGTTTTCTTTCTGATAAGGGGTGTAACAGTCTAACGACCGATTGCCTGTAATTAAATAGAAATATATAACCTGATAAGAGTTACATCAAAAAAGGTGATTTACAATTGAACATTCGAAAATGAGAAGTTACTGACAATATGGAACACATGTCTTAAACATAAACGGGCTAACTCACACCTTTAGAAATTAAGATTCTCCCACCGACCATGGGAAAAATCCAAAAAGAAAATTCAGATTTGCTGCTACTATTGCAACAAATGGGCTAATTCAAACCTTCAAAAACCAACATTTAAAAATAGACCCCACAAACGAATATCAATTTGTGTACTAATTCAAAATTTATTAACCAAGAAAGAAAATTAAACATGAAAATAATCTTAATAAGCAAAACAATAAAGAAAAATTGAACATTTGCAGTTGAAGTTACAATCAATACAACTATACCAAACCCTCCATTATGCATATAATTGCTACCAGTTCTATCTTTTTGGCTTTGAAGATTTGAAATTCAGGTTTTCAATTGGTGGCTCCATCTTTATTCAGCGACACCACCAACGCCCTGCAAAAAGCAAAGCGCAATTTTAGTAAGCCCTAATATGAAACATAATTTTAGCAAACCTCCACATGACAATCACAAATAAGGAGATCATGAGAAAACGAAGCCACAACCTAATATAAGGTATTTGTTTCATATTAACCTTATATTTTCATAGATACAAAGATGGATACAAGGATGCAGTAGAATATTCATTTTTTTATTGAAGACATTACGCATTATCGAACAACATGTAACTTGAGAGATACAAAGTTGACTACATAAAAAAATTATTATGAGGTATATTTAACTAGAAACACCATCCCAAGTTCCCATGATGTTAAATATTTAAGGTAGCGTTTGGTACATGGATATGGTTAGACGAAATTGGACAGAAATGAACTAAATTGGACTGGACTGGACCGAACGTATATAATTTATATAGCGTTTGGTGTGTTCCATCGAGTTATGAAGGAGACAATATAGTCGAGGGGTTGTTTTGTCAAATTGAAGAGGAAGTAGCGTGTTCCATCGAGTTTCATCATTTTGGGTGGGACTAAAACTCCAATAAGCTGTTGTTCCACTTGACTCGATCAACATATTATTTTGCTCTTTTTAATCTCTACCAAACACATATTGAAAGCCTTTTATTCTGTTTTATCTAGTTCTATTCCACACCAAATGATATTTAAGGGAACCAAGTAGTTAAGGCGTAGAATTCTACAACGAATGTCTCTAACCTGATAGACAAGTTCATGTTCCAAATTTTGCCTAATATGGTTGATGGCTTTGGATGGATGTGACATGAAATCGTTAAAGAAATGTTGTATTATGTGTTTTTTTAAAACATAAATCTATGACGCAAAGATATAATTTTGTAATATATATTATAGGAAATTCATAGAAGTTAGAGGGTAAAGTGAAAATAGAGCAAATACCAAGGGGTCAAAAGTGACCATTTCCGCAATCATGTGTTTATATGCGGCTCTTGAATCCCGGGTGTTCTACACGTA